GTCCAAGTTATTGGCTTCCGTCATACTTCGTAGGTTGCTCAAAACCCGAGAATGATTGACTCGCGAGGAGCGGTATTTTTTATTTTATTTCAACAAATAAATATTGGTACAAGAGGGCACCAAATATATATGCGCCACCACAAATCTCATTGATATGTGTGAGGGCTGTGATACTGCCCGGGTGCACAAACCGAAGCAGGTGGTTTTCTTAGGGGGTCACGCCCCGAGCCTTTCATCTAAAGGTCTAACCCACAAGGCAGTGGAGCAACGTAAGGAGATGCAGTCCCATGGAAGCCAGTGACCAACGATTGGTTCATACGTCATTTGTTCCCGCAGGATACTGGAGCCCATGTGCACCATTGGTTTGGGATCTGGTTAAAGCGCCGGACATTCGCTTTTCGTCCTCTCATTTTTGTAAACAACACCCCCGCCACGAGAACGCAGTGAGTAGGACTTCCCTTCCATTCGAGCAGTGGGGTTAGGCAGGGTCGCCCAATCTCACCATCCCTCACCAACTTTGCCATCGACGACGTTCTGGAAACAGCTCTGATGGATGTAAGTAATGGTGGTGTGGATCTGTTGCCTGGAGAAAGACTTCTTGACCTTGAGTATGTGGATGATATTGTCTTACTGTGCGATAATGCCCAAGGCATGCAATCCTCACTTAACCAGTCGGTAATCAGTGTCCGTAAGTATGGTATGTGCTTTGCACCTTCGGAGTGCAAAGTAATTCTACAAGACTGGTAGGATTCTAATCCTATACTCACCCTGGATGGTGAACAGATAAAAGTAGTCGAGAAGTTCGTGTATCTAGGTAGCTGCATAAGTGCTAGTGGTAGCGTGAGTGCTGAGATCAATTCACGTATAGTGAAAGCCAGAGCGGCTTATGCCAATCTGGGCCACCATTGGTGCCTTCGTGATGTCAGTCTGGCTGTAAAAGGTCGGATCTACAACGCGTCGGTGAGAGCAGTTCTGCTCTATGCTTGTGAAACCTGGGCTCTCCGAGTTGAGGACGTTAGACGACTCTCTGTGTTCGATCATCGTTGTCTCCGAAGGATTGCTGACATCCAGTGGCAACACCATGTTAGTAATGCAGAGGTTCGGCATCGTGTGTTCGGGCACAGAGATGATAATGCAATCGATGTTACCATCTTGAAACACCGACTTCGGTGGCTTGAACATGTTCTACGAGTGTCGTCCCAGAGAATTCCACGTCGGGCATTATTTGCCGACGCTGGTTTTGGTTGTAAAAAGTGGAGAGGTGGTAAGCTCATGACATGGTGTTGTGGTATGAAAGAAAGCTGAACAGGACTGGGTTCTGTTGGTCGTTCAAGACGTGCTAGTTGGGGTCCTACAGATGATGCAACACAGTTATCAGATATGGCTCAGAATAGAAGCCAGTGGCAATCCTGCTGTAACCTTCTTTTACTTTTTTCATAAAAAGTGGTTGTGTCTCCCTTAACTGAAAGATTTCTTCTGACTGTGCCTTCCCGTTCCCTCATTATTACTATTATTATTACTACACTACCTTACACCCATCTCTTCTTTATTGTCCTTTTTTTTACGCTCCTTACCTTTTTTTCTTTCTCTTCGAATTCTCATTGTTTTGTGTGGCGCATATATATTTGACGCTCTCTTGTACCAATATTTATGTGTTCAAATAAATAAATAAATAAATCCTCTACTCTAACCGGCCATGTCTCACTGCCATAAAGTAGGATGGAACGAACTACTGCGCAGTAAACACGTCCTTTGGTTGATAGACGGATAACTCGCCTACGCCATAAATAACGCAAGTTGGCAAGAGCTAGTCGACCCTTCTGTATCCGTGCTGAGATTTCGTCACACACAAGACCACAAGGGCTGACGAGACTCCCAAGATAAGTGGAGCGATCGACATGCTCAATTACTTCACTCCCTATCATTAGTTCGGGTGTCAATGCAACCCAATCCTGAAGCAACATTTTGCATTTCGAGGGGGAGAATCGCATCCCGAACATACTTGCATTGTTGCTCAGAGTGGTCAGAAGACTCGGCATTTTGTCAGCGTCTTCGCCAACTAAAACTATGTCATCAGCATATTCTAAGTTAACAAGTGAACCTCCCGGTAGGAGTTCAACCCCTGGAAATCTAGACGAGAAAAGTGTTATCTCTAAAAGTACATCGACGACAAAGTTGAACAAGAATGGAGAGAGTGAACAGCCCTGACGAACACCACTTGAGGTAAACAATTCTGATGACAGTTCGCCATAACCTCTCACTCTACCAGTTGTGTTCGAGTAGAGAGCCTGCACAAGGTTAATGTACTTCTTTGGTATGCCTTTCAATGACAGACACTGTCATAGAACCTCACGATCAACAAAGTCAATCACCGCCTTAAGGTCAAGGAATACAACTGTAGTCGTACGTCGAAAAGTATGTCTATGTCTCAGGACCTGCCTAAGGATGAATATTTGGTCTATACATCCACGTCCAGATCTGAAACCAGCTTGGTTTTTTTCAGGTTTGCTCTTCCTGAGCTCTAGTTGGACGTCGATTTATTCTAGAGGCTAATATTTTAGGCATTATGTTAGTCGAATTGATTCCTCTGTGATTATTGCAAAAGGATTTTTGTCGTTTCTTAAAGACTGGGAAGATCAGCGGTTGAGACTAGTCAGATGGAATTACGTCCACTTCCCAGATTCTAGCTAAGATTTCAGTTAATCTAATTGATAAAATTGGACCACCATCCTTAAAATTCACAGAGGTTAGTCCATAAGGCCCTGCTGCTCTTCGCTTTAGATTACTTATAGCCTTTCCAACCTCACTAAGTCAGAGAAATTATATCAGTCTACCATCCGGGTCGTTTGGATATAGTGGGTAGCTGAAGTGTGAAGGCCAGTTGAACTCTTCTGTAAAGTATTTTGCCCATCGGTCTAATCTCTTGGAGAGTAAATAATAGTCCTATCTTTTTCCGAGACACTTTCACTGACAACCGTATTTCCAATATCCATTTCCTTGATAAGTCTGGACGGTTGTCCACTGTTACCATATCGCCTCTAGCCTCCTCCAATTGTTACTGAAATATATATACTTAACCTTTTCGTTACTAATTTGAGCTAGATAAGTGGGTAGATGCAACGCACATCCTAAAAGTATGAACTGGTATACCCAAAAATAAATCAAAAGGACTGACAATATAGTAATCAAAAGATTAAATAAATACAGATCACTGTATTACGCTGATGAAATGATCGATAACGACACTATATAGTTTAAATAACAAAAGCCCTTAAGTCTATGGCATAGTTAAATAGCTTTTTTAACATTGGAACCGTTTTATTTCCAACAATAAATAGCCAAACATCATTGAAAATTGGACAGTTTTAGTTGATTATACGCAGCTAATGAACATACCCTACTAATTGCTTAGATATCTATGTCTCAGTAACCCATTCAAATTACGTAATACCGTCTGTCTTGAGGCTAGATATAAATGACTCAGAATCACTATTTATTTAAGAAATGAGTTCATTCGCAT